ATCAACCTGGACAAGTACGAGGTGTGCATCCGCGCCTTCTTCAACTCCTGCGACACCTCCAAGGACGGCCGCGTGTCCGCCCCCGAGTGGTGCTTCTGCTTCTGGAGGGAAAGTGCGTCAGGACAGGGGGACACGGCGCTGAGGGCTGGGGATGGACACCACGGGGTCAGGGGGAGGCAGTCCGGGCGCTGGGGGATCTGTGTCCTGTGGGATGCATGCCATGGAATGGGGAATCCCTGCTGCGGGATTGGGGTTGTGCCTCGTGGGGCTGTGGGGGATCCAAGGGGTGGGAGGTGCATCACGGGGGGATGTATGTGGTGGGGTAGTGGGCAATCCTTGCTGTGGGTTTGGGATGTTTGCTTTCGGGGGAGAGGTACACCACAGAGTTTGGGGGGGCTGGAAACCATGCAGGGATGCATGCTGTGGGTCATGGGGAAGAACGGCTTGGGTGCAGGGGGATGTGCATCATGAGGGATGCACAGTGTGGGCTGGAGGGACACACACTGTGGAGCTGGGGGATGTTATCCATGGGGGATGCACACTTTGGAGTTGGGGGATGTTATCCTTGGGGGATGCACACTGTGGAGTTGGGGGATGTTATCCTTGGGGGATGCACACTGTGGAGTTGAGGGATGCACACTGTGGAGCTGGGGATGTACTCCATGGGCCAGGCTGGGTGCACACCATGGGGATGCACACAATGGGTAATGCACAATGTGGGGTCTGGGGGATTGCACTCCATGGGGAATGTGGAGTTCTGGGTGATGCACACCACAGGGACGAATGCTGTGGGTTTGGGGGCACACACTGTGTGGGGTGAGGGGTTGCCCGCTCTAAGAGCAGCCTGTGGCCTTGCTGCAGAGCCGCCCTGTCTGAGGGAGCTGGAGAAGATCCAGATCCAAGAAGCGACCAAAAAAAAGCTGGGTGAGTGGGGCAGCCCAGGGCCGTTTCCCCAGCAGNCGGGCGGGAGGAACGCGGTGTCCGCTGCTCCCGGGAGCTCCCGGCTGGACACGAGCAGGGATTTATCCGTGGAAAGGCTGATGGGACACCGAGTGGGCAGCGAGCAGCCCCGGAGCGCTCGGTACCAAGGTGGGGAAACCATCACAGGACGGACTCCATCATCTCTGAGGTCTTTCCAGCCTCAGTGGTTCTGTGATTCTGTGAGCCCTCAGCTCCAGAGAGGGAGAGTGTGAAAAATGCGTATTTTATGATTGCCTTTTTGCAAATATTAAAATGAATATTATGTGTGTTATGTTAGAAAGTTATGCTGTATTAATTTTCTTAAGTAGTGTGTTAAATCTAGTTTTAGGTTATAACATAATGTTAAAATAGAAAGTATGCTATGTAAGATACTTTTTTTAAAGGGCTTGCACTGAGATAGCAGCCACAGGACACCTGAATCTTTCAGAGAAAGAGAATTTATTGCTCCATTATTGAAGCTCTTCCTGCCTGGCTCAGCCCTGAAGACACTGTCAAGATTCAGAGGCAGGAGCTGATACTGCCCAGACAGAATCCTGTGTTTGAATGGAATTTATGCATCATGGATGAGGTGTATGAATATGCAACGGGCTGTTGCTTTTAAGGGTTAATCCTCTGTTAATGTGGGGCCTTTTTGGGGCTTATTTTGCCCAGAGGCACCCGGACTGTCTGTAACTCTTTGTTTTTATTGTCTTATATTGTCCTAATCCAAATTGTCCAAATTATTATTACTCTAATTATATTACTATTTTTATAACCATTTCATTACTATTAAACTTGTAAAATTTTAAAACCAAGTGATTGGTGTTTTTCACAGAGAGGTAGCCCCACAGCACTGGGTTCCAGTAGTTTTTTATTTCTAGATCCATACACACCCCAGGTGAGGGATCTCCTGTCACGACTTAGAGCACACCACATGACTGTGCACAAAGAGGGTGTTTGGATTTCATAAATTATTTCTTCCAGCCTCCACCAGGCCTCAGCAGACACGTCACTGCGAGGTATGGAATTCTAATCAGCAAAGTTACAGGCAAGGTCTTCTTGCTGACACTGAAGCTATTTTTCTGGTCTATTCCTGCGTGAGGCAGCTCCTCGGTGGGAAGGACACAGCTGTCTCACCACCATCCTCAGGACTTAGTTCTTCTGGTAGTAGAACCATTTGTCAACTGTGTGGGGCAGAGAAAAGGAGGGGGTTAGTCCCTGTGGGCCACCCAGTTATTAAGCAGTTACGTGGCAGTGTCTGTGTGTGTCACCTCCAGCTCAGGGCCTTCCCCTGCTCCTGGCAGCAGCTCCTCAGCACAGCAAACAGGTTCTGGCACAACCCTGTTTGTGTGGATTTGTTTTCCCAGGGCAGTCAGCCTTGCTCAGGCTGCCATCAGGAGCATCCATGACTTGGTGCAGGCAAGGACAGCAAGCCAGGCTTCCCTCTGGCTCAGCTGAGTCAAGGAGGCAAAGCCTCCAACTCCCATGCCCACATGGGAGACACACATTTTTAATAAAATAATAAACCTCCGCAGGTTTATTCCCCATGAAGGGATTGGAAGAGTCAGCCCAGCTCCTCTTTCTGCTCCCAACACCACCCTCAGCTGCAGCACTATCCAGGTTTAGCTCAGCCCCTCGTTTTCCTGGCTGCAGCACCATCCAGGTTTAGTTCAGCCCCTCGTTTTCCTGGCTCCAGCACCATCCAGGTTTAGNCCCCGGGACCCTTGGCCCGGACACCCCACGGCCCCGCTCGGTTCCCACCTCACCCGCAGCAAGAACGAATACCAAACCTTTATTTCCAACAGAGGTACCGGGACCGGGAGAATCCCTTTGGGAGAGCTAAAATCGCCCTGGATACCGGGAGGCAGAGCCAAAGCCTCCCTGCCCCGATTCCCCCCAGCCCCTTCCTGGCTGCCTGGGCTCGGTGTGGGTTCGTCACACCAAGCGCAAAGCCCCTGCAAGCCATGAGCTCTCTCTGCTTGCCAGCCCAGAGGCAAGCAGCTCTTCCATCCTGCCTGTTTCCCTCTCTGGCTGCACCACGCAGATCACAAAACCATGGAATCACTGAATGAATATCCTGATTGGAAGCGACAAGGATTGAGTCCAGCTCCTGGCCTTGCACAGGACAGCCCCAAGAATCCCACCCTGTGCCTGAGAGCGTTGTCCAAAGGCTCCTGGAACTCTGTGGCTGGTGTTCTGATGGCCCCAAGGCCCAGCAAACACCAAGCCAGACTGAGGCTCGTTGCCCCTTCGGAGGAGAAAGACGTGTCTTTATTGAACTGAAAATGAGTGCCAGACAGCAATGAAACTTCAGACAAAAAAAAAAAAAGTCCGTTGAGAGTATAAAAGAAACCGGTTTAGTCTACATTAATCACCTCATGATATGCAAATGTCAAACACTTCCATGCTACAGCCACCAAACAGCTCCGTGGTTCGTACTGTGATGGCGTGGCCAGAGGAGCCTCGACGGAGGGTCTGGCCTGAGGGGATCCAGGCAGCCCCTTCCCACTGCACACCACCCCAACACCTGCACCAGGTGCTCCTCCCCAACTAGGAAAAAAAATAAAATAAAATTAAAATCCCTGTAAACTAAAGAAGCTGGGATTGCACACCTCAGTCCCAACGGCAGCTCGCCGTCGTCGGTCAGCGTGACACAGCACAGCCACCCTACAGCTCAGTTAAGCCCAAATGCTATGTTTATTGAGGACTTTTAATATCGTGATACCTTGCTTCAGTAATTTGTGAAATACCTAAATACCGTTAAATATATTCTTAAAAAACCCTAAACCAGACTCTGGACTAAACAAGATGAACGTTAAACTAAAAAGTTAGAAGGGACGCCATTTACATTAACACTTTCTTTAAAAAATATAATTGCTTTTTTCCTTTTCTGTTTGTTTGTTTGTTTGTTTGTTTTTGAAGTCAATTGACCACAGTGGTGAGACGTGCTCTCTTTTTCAGCTGTTACACTGCAGCGTGCAGAGTTTTGCCTTCCCAGGCTGGAGCAGCCCCGCTGTCACCCCACTGGCAGGGACAACCCAGGGACGGCGCTGCCTCCGGAAAAGAGCGGTGTCACCACTGTGCCATAGGGGCAGCTGGAAACCAGGAGTCTCTTGGACAACGCCAGGAAAGCCTTCCATGTTCTAATAGAAAAGTCCATAGGAAGCTGAAGTGAACAGGATCAGTCCAGAGGAGTTGACTCTCGCGGCCGTGGGCGTCAGTCGATGTACTGCGATAGCCAGCGGAAGCCCTCACCGTAGCCTTGCCTCTTGAGCACGCTGCACATGAACACCTCCATGGGGCGCGCGTTCAGCTCCTTCAGTGGCACGTTTCCCTGGGGAAATCCAAACTGGAGTCACATCTGCACCCTGCTGCCCTCGGGGGAGCGCCCAGCGAGCCACAGCCATCAGGGGAGCTCCTCTCACCAGCCCTGTGTGTGCGCTGCATTCTGGACAATCCAATCCCGGCAGCCTCAGGGCAGCATCACCAAAGGGCAGCTTTGAGTGGGCAGGGACCTTAAAAATCACCTCATTCCACCCCACTGCCTGGTCCCACTATCCCAGGGTGCTCCAAGCCCTGTCCAACCTGGCCTTGAACACTGCCAGGGATCCAGGGGCAGCCCCAGCTTCTGTGCCAGGGTATCACCGGCCAGGGGTATATGTACAAATCACAAACGGGACGGGACTGCTGTGGAACGTGCCTTGAGCTCTTTTTCTGCTGACCTATCTCATGGCTACTGCTTAGCTCTAATCACAGTTCTACTGTCTCTGAGGCCTGCCTTTTGCAGCATTCCCAAAACCCTCTGCTTTTGTGGATTCCGACACCAGGGCCTGCCCACGCTCACAGGAAGAATCTCTTCCCAATTTCCCATCTGAGCCTGCCCTCTGGCAGTGGGAAACCAGTCCCTCTTGTCCCACCACTCCATGGCTTTTAAACAGTCCCTCTCTCCTAGTCTCCCTTCAGGCACACCATCATTATTATCATTGATTAACCTGGACCAATTAATGGACAAATTCCCATCAATCCCAGCTGGATCGGGGCTCAATCCAAGGAAGCAGCCAAGGCAAGGTGTGAACGGCTCCTACCTTGCCTGTGGTCTGTCCGTAGAGCCCGAAGATCTCCCGCAGTTTCTCCTCGCTGATGGCCTCTGGTCTGTCGATTTTGTTTCCCAGGATAAGGATTGGCACGTTGGATATTGTCTCGTCTGTCATCAATGCCTGCATGCAAGAGCCAACAAGAGTTGAGCAGAGAGGTGGAAAAAGGAGTCCTTGCCTGAAGGAAATGGTTTTGTTTGAGCTCTGGGACCAACAAGGGCTCGTTTCTGGGGCTTCCAGACTCCACAGGATCCCTGAGGCTGGAAAATCCCTCCCAGCCCATGGAGTCCCAGCTGTGCCCAGCCCAGAGCACTCAGTGCCACCTCCATCCCCTCCTTGGACACCCTCAAAGCTCCCTGGGCAGCCCCTGCCAAGGCCTAAGCACCCTTTCCATGCAGGAATTCCTGCTGCTGTCCAGGCTGAGCCTCCCCTGAACCCAATGGCCAGAGCAAGGACACTCAGGCCTCTCCAGCTCTGTGAGAGATGGCTGTTATCCGTAATTCAGCTGATCAGAGGGGCTGGAGAAGGGAAAGAAGGGAAGTGGAATTACATTAAGCTCAACTTTGGATTCCATAAGCCGTGAGTGATCTGCACAGTCCACCAGGAACACAATCCCATTGATGGCAGGCAGGTAGTTCTTCCAGACTCGGCGAGCTGGAAAACACAGGGGACAAACACAGCCCTGTGAAATCTCCACACAGGGAAAAATCCACCAAACCTCAGCAAGCACGGCTGCCTTTTTAGCCAGGCTGCCTTCCTTCCAGTAGTTTTGTGTATAAAAGGGCAAAAACCCTGTGTTTAAAACTTCTAGAAAGTGCAGAAATAAAAATCCAGCAATTCTCCAAACTAAATTATATCTGAGTCCTCCACAGCTAAAAATACTTCAGGCAGCAGGGCAAGAACTGGCAGCATTTCCTTCTAAGCAATCCTACAGCCAGGAGGCTGCTTCCACATGTTGTTCCATAAATAAATCCAGGCAACAAACAATTAGGCACTGCTAATTGCTGACACCCTCAGGATCAATTTTTGGTCATTTTTTTCCTTACCTTGTTCATGTCCACCCAGATCAAAAGTCGTGAAAGTCATTCCAGCAATCGTCAGCTCCTCTGATGCTGAAATGGAAAGCACAGGTGGGATCCAGGAAAACAGGGAAGTTGTGACAGACAGAATTTCTTGGGTATCACACACACTCCTCTAGCAAGGAATTCCCTGAACTTCCTGGGGAATTCAGGAGCAGTTTCCCAAAATCACAAGCAGCAGAAAATAATTCTTCCTGCTTCCCAGTGAAGCTTCAATTATTATCCTTCTTTTCACTAGGAAAATCTTCCCTTTCTAACAATAGAACCACACCAGTTGCTGGGCATTTCTAGAGAGGAAAACACAGAACTTGAGCTGCACTGTGGTTCCCCAAGCTGAAGTGGATCTGAGACCCTCAAATCCCCCAGGCAGAGCTCCCTCCTCCACTGTGCCCCCCAATTCCAGAGGGAAAGCCACACCAGGAGGCTTTTCCCGGGACACTTACTGGGATGTAGTGTGGGGACGTGCTGGCCCAGCCTGTCATCCTTGAGCATGTGCAGCAGAGTGGTTTTCCCTGCATTATCCAAGCCCAGGAACACCAGCTTTCCGGACTTCTTGTACAAACCTGCCAGGAGGAGGAAGGAAGCAAGAGGAGAACTCCAGCGGGCTCACCCGGAATGCCACGCTGTTTTTTTTTGGGAAGGCCTTTCCCAGAGCTCTGCTGCCACCTGTGCACACTCCAGGGGCAGCAGGGAACACACACACAGCTCAAACAGCCTTTTTCCAGGGCATGTTTACAGCAATGGGCATCTCCTGAGCTCCTGCTCCATTCTTTCCTCCATCCCAGCAGTGTGCAGCACAGCATTATGGATCAGTCTGTCCCCTCAAACTGAACAAACTCGTAAAAGACAGCAGTGAGCTGTCCAGGAAAATGTGCAAAGCAGGGAACAGTGAGCTGTCTTCTTGGCATAAACTGATTTTTGTCATGTCTGCCAGAGGAAAGCTCCCAGATGTTTCCAACATGGCTTTTTCTCACCCCATCTCTCATCCTCCCTTCAAGAGGGGATCAGGAGAATGTGCACCCCATCCTCCAGCAGGGAGTTCCACTGGAATCCAGGACTCTGGAAGGAGGATGAGGAGGATGGGGTTCCCTCCCTGGTGAGGCAGCACCTCTGCCTGGGGCTGGACAGGCCTCCAAAGGGCAACAGAAACACTGAGTGGGAACCCAACACCCCTAAATACCCCCAAAGTTTCTCTGCACCGGTGTAAAAGCCCCTTTATAGATAGAGAGCTGCCTCAGCACACTGTGCATGGCCAGAGCTGCTGCTCACCCCCAGCCCCGGCTCTTATGGGGTGCAGGCAGCGGGAGAGGCCAAACCCACACCGAGGGGGCTGCCGGGCATTACCTAGGAACTGCAAGACGCTGCTGAAGCCGTTGTAGAGCCATTCGAAGATGAAAGACATCTCTGGAAACAAAATGCCTGCGGGGGACAAACCCCAAAGCCCGAGTTACGAAGG